AGTATGCAAAAGATATGTTCAAAGTAGATGGAGCTGAATATGTTTTCTCAACCTGGTTTACAGAAGCTACAGATATTAATTTAGCCAGTATAATATTAGAAGCAGAAAATGAAGATGAAGCTATGCAGAAGATATTTTTATAATATCTATATCAGAATTATTCAGAAGAAAAAATCAATAAAATCATAAAATTGGTAGTAGATGCTTATAGAGCATCAGATAAAGGGAGTAAAAACTGGTTGAGATATGTGAAAGATCAAATAGAATCAAAAAAAATTCGAAACTGGAATGACCGAAAAGCAAGCCCGAGAAATTTTAAATACGATCAATAATGGCAAGTTCTTAATAAGGATAAAATTCATTCAAGATGATTCTGTATATGGAGATGAACATCAAACAAAGATAGCTTTTAAAATTATTGATAAATATGAGCCTATTCGTGAATCAAAAAAGGTTGGCAGAAAATATGCCAAAGGGGGTCCAAATGTCATACTTACAAAGAAAATGAAACTAGGCTTTTGGGTAGGAATAGACAAAAAATTTCTAGTTAGAGAAGTCAGTAAGCAATCTGAAGTAGAAAGACTTGAAAGCAATACAGTAGTTTATGAATTGTATCGAATCCGAAAACCAGATATTAATCGATTAATGCCTATAAAAGATGGAGTACTTAATTGTGTAGCTCAACGAGTAGTAGAACATTTTGATCAAGCCAAGAGAGGACATGGGCTTACAAATATTTATTGGCAAAAAATCGATACATGGAAGAAAAAAATGCGAATTCCCGGTGCTCGAGTACAAGATGTGGCAGACTTAGAAAAAATTTTTAAACGACCGATTAAATTACTTGATATAACTCATAGTACTATATTTAATAGTGGAAAGTATCAATCAGGTAAGTATAAAGAAATCGGGATGGTAGTTCATAATGGCTATGTATTTCTAAGAAACCAACATTTTCTAAGAGATCGAATGGTTGAATATTACAAGGATGATACATGGGAAGCTATCAGTAATGCCCTCAGGGAACCTCAAGCAATCTGGCTTATGGGAGTAGGGGATACGAGTCAAACAATATCCTAGTTTGTTCTAGAAGATGGTCGCATATTTAGAATATGGAAAAAGTATACAGAAATTATAGAAGCATGCAAACAATTAGTTGATGATGCAATAGACTAGCAATATCAGAAAGGAATAATCAATGAGAAAAAGAAATTGATTCTTTCAGAGTCTCTAAAAGTTGTTGATTTAGCGGAGCAGATATTTGGTGCAAACTATGCTAAAAGCCGACTCGCTAATGAAATCAATGAATGGCATCCAATATCTGGAAAAATAAATGATGTTATAAGACAGGCTTGTGTCGAGCATAGGCATGGTGGATGCTAGAATGCATCCAATTATCACATTAATGATGTTGTATGTATCGACATGAAATCATGCTATCTAGCAAGTATGCAAGGTCAAGGAGAATATGCACCATGGTTTAATCGATTTAGACATCCAACACATCACCTTGTCCGAGTAGCAGTAAATAGAAAATTACCGAAAGATGATATTACTGGATTTGCACAGATAAGATCCTTTAAGTTTGCTCCTAATATATATCCAGTAATTCCAGTCTGGTATGGAAAACATTTTGCAAGTCAAAATGGGAAAGGGTGTGTAAAAAGTAAAGAATGGGCTCTAATAGTATTGTTACAATATCTTCTTGAGACAGGAATTCTAGAAGACTTAACTATTAGAGAAGTGATCATTTCTCTTACTCAGCAGACTAAAGTATGGTTACCAGAAAATCGAGATATTAGTTGTGCAATTATAGATAAGTTTACACAAGGTGGCAAGATTGATGAAAAACGCCTTACTCATCGACTTGTAACAGATGAAGGTAAGCTTGATTTCTTGATCAAAGATTGTACTGATGCTAGAACTTTTGCCAGAAGAGAAAAATGTCTACTCGGATTCATACTTATATATTACGAGGGACATCAATCTCAATATACACATTTGCGGACCTCAATGTTAGCATATGCGCATATTAATTTGTTAGAGATGCTTCAAGATTTGATCCTAATGAAGTAGTAAGGATTGCTACAGATTCTATATATGTACAAAAAGAGGCTTTATATAAGATCGAAAATATACCAGCATTCTTCAAGCAAGTTGAGGTAAAGTCAGATCCAAAT